TATTTGACATATATTCTATCTTGTTGTCATATAATTAACAAAAGTGCTTCTCAACTATCGAGAGAAAATTTTTTCTTTATGTATTATTGAAAAGATCTTTTACATTTTTAAGAAAACAAAACTATTCACGTCATATGCGAGTAATTAAAAGTTGATTCTACTGTTTTTTTTTAAGTATTTTCACAAGATATTTTTATATGATTGGGTAGAAATCGACAAGCCCTACACGAATACGAATGTGAAAAAAATGTTTATACAGTTTTATTAATAAAAAGTTTTAGAGGAAACTAGAAAAGCTCAACTCATCCGTCCAAAATCGGTCAAATACCAGTCAAAAAAACGAGTAAAAATGCCTAAATAATAGTGTGCCTTCGAACATCTCAAGTGGCCAACCTTGTAGCCCTACTATTTGATTCCATTTTGAAGACCTATCTGTCCTCTAGCTATACTGAAAAAATCAGAAACAGATATTCTGTCATTCTCGAAATATTGTTGAAACAATACTTAGAATTGGTCAAATTCTATAATTCTTTTACCACGATTGGACCACTTATCCGATTATGGCCAAACTAGCCAGCTTGGTAATCTTAACTGTTTTATGTCATAAAAGAGAGGACGAGATTATGAAAGTCAAGAACATGGCAGATGAAGCTGGCTCATACCGAATCTGCTACACTAGTTCACTGTGGCAAATGAAATGTTACACGATATCACAAAACAATAAGCTGGCTGTACCTACGTATCATGTGCATCGGCATCTACATTTTCAAGGTATAGATAATGGCATCGGCTTAAAAATTTATTCTAATAAGATCCAACTGGCCAGTGGTAATCATAATCTTGTCACGATGCATACTAATAGGAAAATCATTGAGACACCAATGGGTAAATTACAATTGGATGCAATTAATACGAATCAACGAGCCTGTACCATATCAAGAGAAAATGGTGATGTTGTGCTGCGTGTTCAACGCAGGCTCAATGGATCATATTCGATACACGTTGCTGAGCTTGTTGCTATCGAAGAAAACGACACACCACTTCTACTTGCTCTTGCTATCCTTATGGATATACGTTTTCGATCGAACCAGAACCGTCACATAAGCCGTATTGGACGAGTCTTACAAAATATAAGTCCTTCTTGTTTTTGTGGACAATAGCATGAGATGTTCGGAGACATTAGCCTATAATTTGACAGAAATTTTCTTGAGTTTCAATCAAGAATCAACAGTTTCAATTATTTATCCTAGATATACATTCCAAAAACTCGAAGAATTTTTATTAAACGATTTTTTTAATTTCGATTTTGTAAATAAAATCGTCAATTTTAAAAATATTCTCAGAAATAGACGATATTCAGACCATAAGTAAATCTCAACGAGTGCAAATGTGATAGAATTTTAAGCTGAACAGATCATCGCTGTTATATATACAGGCGTGCAGCTCGTGAAATTCCTGACAATCAATGCCTATTTCGAAATTTACTGAAATAATTTTGTAGTAAAAGACAAAGACAGAGTTCGCTATTTTTCCCGTAATTTTCTGATATCTGGCCAACGTCTATGGTAGGAAAATTATCATAACTCATAAATAAAGCTTTGTTGTAACACAAAAATTACAAGAAAATAGTATCATCGACAGAATGAGAAGTCATAAAAATTCCAGCGAAAAATGTGTTGCCTAAATGAAAATATAATCATCGCAACGCTTGGCGCGCCTGAAAATTGTCATCTTTTTCTTCCCAGCAGAGCATCCGTGATTAGTATTCACTCTTAAAAACAGACCTTAATACGGCCGAGTTTCTATGGAAATATCACAGAATTATTTTTAAAAAAATAGCATATTCCTTTTATATGTCCTAGCGAAATCTTCTTATTTCGAAATATTTGTTTGTGGTGACACTGTATGGGAGTGTAGCTTATTCAATCAGTTGCGATCCGCACGTATTTTCATATTTCTTTGATTACCTTTTACAAAATATAGCAGTACTGAAATGTGAGTTCTATGTCACGTGATATTTTGCTTTTATACAAACTCATTCTGATGATGAAAATTCCAAGTCTTTCGAATAAATCTATATCACAAAATCAAATATACCTAAAAAAGTGTCATTCTCTCGTGTAAAATCGATGAAAATTGAGAGAGATTTACTGTCTTTAAAGAAAGAAGCGCTTATTCTGAGAGTGGGCGAGTGCATTGATGGCAGTGAGCGGGGGGGGGGGGGGGGGGGAGAGCTGGAAGAGGAGGAGACCTACAGCCACATGTCTAATTTATTAAAAATGTGCAACAAATGTTTATCAAACAATAGAAATAGGCTTCGATGATTGGAAGCTTACAATAGTAGAACAAAAATGAAGAAATTCAAGAAAAAAAATTCTACATATTGGTTTTGCAACTCAATAGAGAACTCTATATTGATGAATAAAAACTTGGAAGTTTTCTCTACTATCAGTACAAAAACCAGTTCATCCAATAGAATCGTAATGAAGATATACGATTTTCTTTTTAGTCAATGACTTTCTGGACACCTTATATATATATATGATTTAACTGACTGTACGTAAAGAGAATGAGAGAGCGTAGACTACACAATTATTAGAATGATCACGAGGATTATATTCATACAAATTGAAAAAAAGACTTGTATTTTCTAACTAACTCTGGTACAATTTTTTCACATACTGCATGATTTCATTGTGGCTCGTTGGAATATGATGAGTCCTAGTCTTCAAATGATAGATTTATCGAGTTCATCTAGCCTCTCTAGATAATAATTTAAGTCGCTTAGAATGACTCGATTAATATCCTAATGTTCGATTGAAATAATTGCGTTAAAATCTGAAAATATAAAAGGAACAAAAAAAAAATACTTAATGCAATGCATAATAATTCAATATGATGCTAGTACTCAAATTTCGAGCTTCATCATCTCGACTTAGGAATATTTCTAAGTAATGTGCAACATATTCTTCGATATAAAATTCAACAAGCTGTCCACATGATACTAGTTTTTTTTTTTGGCAATCGCTTCATAACATGATCTTCTGATCAATATATTAGAAAAACAAACCTCTATGTAATGCCAAAAATTACAGCTCTTGGAATTTTTTATTCAATTTTAAAATTGAAGAGAAATACTACATGTATAGTTTTGCAGAACAAGTCAAGCTCTATCGATTGGTATATGACTCAGATTGAGCAGTGAAAAGGTTTCAAGGAAAAAAAATGACAGATCAAGTTCAGATCATTCTTTAGAGATATCTACCAGGACTAAGCCTTAAGACTAATATTTTGTCTTTTTGTATGGTAAAAAAATAAACACTTTTCAACCTACAGTGTATATAGATGCTGATAGAACTATACAAAATATATTAGGATGAATATATCTATGTTGAAAAAAAAACCTGAACAGGTTTTGCATTATTATTGATTATATCAAATGACTGAATGATGTGAGACTGATGATTAATCAATTTTAGTCGTGTGCCGATCACGAGAATGTACATGGTTGTTATAAAATGAAAATATTATTTTTGATAAATTTCTGTTTTTTTATATGACACAAAAAGTTCGAATAGAACTTACTCTTCATCAATATAGATGTCAGTATCTATATAAAAAAAATACGAATTGTTTTTTATTGGTTGAAAAGGTCAAACTACTCTTGATATTTTACTTGTTTATTTATTCTGTCCTTGTATTAGAGAATTCATTCAAAACAAATCGGTATGACATTAAAAAAACACATTATTATGTAAAAATTCTAATAGTCTTTATTATGATGAGATACAATGATATATATTCGATCTTGATATCAACGATAATCGAAAGGCTTCGATATCGATTGGATTCTGTTATTTATGGATAGTTTTGTTTTGTTTTTTCTTTAACCGTTTGTTTTGTTATATATATATATATATACACGAACTCCTAAAACAGTGAAAGAATCCTGTCAATTGTAATACAAAAAACAAAAACAAAGCCTTTTTTTGTCTCACCTTAACGCCATTATTTCTGTGTATAGTTCTTTTGTTATATTTCTTGGTTCTTTTTTTTTTTGTACTGTAAAATATATGTAAATGATGATGAAGAGCAACAGTACGGGTAATGGAAATTCAACAACATTTACTGTTCATGATCGTCTTGGTGCCGCTATTGCTCCAAATACAAATTCATCACATTCAAATACAACAACTTGTTCAATAAATTTATCAACATCATCTAATTGTCAAACAATGACAACAGTAACAACAACAAATAATTCTAATACAAATTTAATGCCTGCTGGAAGTTTATCATCAGCTACAGCAGCATCATGTAATATAGCAACAGGAAATAGTAATAATAATTCAATAACAACAACAACATCAAACAATTCTAATCAACATCAAGATTTAGTTAATTTATTTGAATGTCCTGTTTGTTTTGATTACGCTTTACCACCTATTCTTCAATGTCAATCAGGACATATTGTTTGTTCACAATGTCGACAAAAACTTTCATCATGTCCAACGTGTCGTGGACCGTTAGGTAAGATAATAGTTAGCACTAGTATGAAATTTTCAACTCTATACCATAATGTTTTCGGAAGATATTCATTAAACAATGACCAAAAATACTTCATATAACAATTTGAAATTCTCTGTGAGCTCTCTCTCTCTCTATATATATATTTTATGTTTTTCATTTGAATGAGCTTGTCCGACTGCAGTGTCTAACAGAGTCCTTTTTATGCCAAGACAAAGGATGACAAGTTCAATATCTCGAAAAACTAAAAAAAAATAATCATGTATTAATAGAAGTGCATTTATATATAAAAATAAAAAAAAGTTTAATTCAAAAATCTATTGATTACAATAAAGCAGTTACTTCGACAATTCTGAAATGCTCAATCAAAAAAGTATAAACAGAGAAAAAAATGAAACAGATTCTAAAAAACAAAAATCATATTGTTTGTGAGACATCCGACTTTAATCTATAACTTCCATACGTTTATCTTAATTTCGATTAATTTGACAGAAACAGCCTTTTCTTTGAAGAGAAAGACTTTCAACAGGAGAATGTATTATTATATTGAATAGAATATGAATTACTTTAAAATATATTCATTTGTCTGTAATATTTTTATAACATAATAATGATTATTTGATCTCTTAACATTTATTTGTAATTGTTTTTTTTTCTAAATTTGCATAGTTGAATTTTATTTAAATATTTATAAACAATTTATTAAGAAAAATAAAATAATAATTTGATCTTAGTTCGTTTATGATTTATAGTAATGTTATCGAACAGAAGTTGAACCCTTAATTGACTCTATAAATTCTATTCATTAACTAAATACTTTATAACTTCAATATATATATATATATTTAGGTAATATCCGTAATTTGGGTATGGAAAAAGTAGCTGATACAATAGTATTTCCTTGTAAATATCAAACAAATGGTTGTTTATTAAATTTAATGCACAAACATAAATTAGAACATGAAGATTCCTGTGATTTTCGACCGGTAAATAATTAATTATAAAATTTATTTTCCTTTTTTTTTCATAATTTATCTTTTGGGTATTTTTTTTTCTTTTTATCAAGTATATGTGTCCGTGTCCGGGTGCATCATGTAAATGGCAAGGTAGTCTTGAAAATGTAATGCAACATCTATGGCTTGCACATAAATCAATAACAACATTACAGGGTGAAGATATTGTATTTTTAGCTACAGATATTACTTTACCTGGAGCAGTTGATTGGGTATGATAAAATAAAATTTAAAAAAGAAATTTTTTTTTTAATACTAAACAAAATTTCTTTATTCTAGGTTATGATGCAATCATGTTTTGGACATCATTTTATGCTTGTTTTAGAAAAACAAGAACAACAATTTTTTGCTATTGTTCAATTAATTGGTAGTCGACAACAAGCAGAAAAATTTGTTTATCGTTTAGAATTAAATGGTAGTAAACGACGATTAACATGGGAAAGTACACCGAAATCTATTCATGAAGGTATTCAACAAGCTATACTTCTTAGTGATTGTCTTGTATTTGATGGAGCAACAGCATTACTATTTAGTGAAAATGGTAATTTAGCTATTAATGTGACTATATCCATCGGTTAAATTGAACTTCAATATATATATATACATATATATAGTTGTATCTAGCTGCATTTTGTTTCTCTATTTGAGTTTTATGTTGCTTCTTCGTTCATTTTTTTTTCTTTTTCTTTTCTTGATTGATAAAGATTTAAAATTATTTGTGAATTAAACTTTATTAATGAGATTTTTATGGTAAGTAGACAAAGAAAAATATTCAAGCCTTTCGGCTACTTTTCAATATATGATACTATCCTAGGACAGTTTTATTAGCCTGACTTTTTTTTTCATATACCTATTACTAATTGTAGCTTTGGATAGAAAGTCGAACTGACTCACAAGGAAACCTTCCCAGGTGATAGAGCGCTTTTCAGTCGGAGTTTTGCGCATCTTGTAGCCTATAGTGAGCTATGTCTATAGTAAAAAAATTTCGGGCCTCTGACTTGTTTCTGAAGAGATATCGAGCTCTTATTGAATTTTCTCTATAGTACGCCTACATTGGCGGCAAAGCTATACTTTCGAATTTTGATCTGAAACTTTGCCTGCATAAAGGCCTCAGCTAGACTAGTTTGCATAAAAAATTTCAGAAGTTTTGAAAAGAGCCTCTCTAAGACATGAAACTATCAAGGTATGGTCCCTTTTTCATTAATAATATATATATGATGCATTTTTTTCAAAGCTTCATATCTTAGAGAGACTCTTTTCAAAACTTCTGAAATTTTTTATGCAGGCAAAGTTTCAGATCAAAATTCGAAAGTATAGCTTTGCTGCGGGTCTACGACAATTGGTCGAATGTCAATTAGTCGAATAAGTAATTGGTCGTGTATAAAGGGTGAGTAAGAGAATAATTTATTAAATAACAAGAAAACTATGCATGTATAATAATAACAACAATCATAACAGAAATTAGAATACAATAGAGTTAAATTCAATTGCAAATTTTTTGCTAGTCCTGCTAATTGTGTAAGAAGAGTTGGATGTGGAGATAGTAACAAGTTCTTTAAATGTTGACTATAATCCAAATATTTTTTATTTCGAACTGATTTATCATCAGCATCTAATTTAACTATTTGACAATGAATATAATTTTCTTCTTTCTGAAGACTTTGAATAAAAATTCACAGAGATGGATGCTCACATTGTATTACAGAGTTGAGTCTTCTGTGCCAAGCTTCTGCTTGATTATTAGTACGCATGAAATCATTAGTTGTTCTGTAAAGCATATTTCATAAGTCAATCGAAAATCTTGGTGTTGCACGTCCATTTGGTCGACGTCTTCCAATGTACGTATCTTCAAAGTAATCCATTACAGGTTCTAACATTGGAGGTAAAGATGGATAAAGATCGTCGAATGCTTGTGCAACATCAGATGGTTGAAGAAATGCTAATGCAGAAATTTTATGAACATTATATGCAAATTCTGAATCATTTTCGTAATTATTTTTTAGTCCCAGATCCTACAATGCGTAGAAAATATTGAATGACCTTCATGCAAAAGCTACTTACTTGTAATTTACGCAAAATACTTTTTTGAAGATGAAAAAAGCAAGCTGACATTCCAACTGGACTTGTAGTTTTACCAAATGATGATTGAAAAGCATTAATTGCCGCATTTTCGAAATCAACCATTATTAATTTGGGATTCCATGAAGGACACAAATTTCTTAATTCATTAATTAATCATTGATACGTTTGTTGTTGTTTATCAGCTGGTACAGCAAAAACTAATGGAAATATATTATTTCGATAGACACCATGTATAGTATATAATTGAGTGAAAATAATTGGTGTTACCTAAGATGAAAATCCAATATATAATTATGTCTTTTGTAGAACAATTGAGAATTAAAAAAATACGTACTTTAAATGTACCATCAATTAGTATTTCTTCAGTACCTTCTAATATTCTTAATTGATTAATAGATGCGAATATAAGCAAACGATGATCACCGGGTCCAGAATCAAATTGTAAGAATTTTTCATTTTTAAATGTTGTTGTTAAAGATGCTGGAATTATATTAAAATTTTTATCGAATGGAAGTTTAGGTAAATCATTCTGTTGTCGTTGAATATTTCTTTTAATGTATTTTAAATTTGGAAGACGTGCTACCATTTGATCCGATGCATTTCTTAAGCAATTGTCAATAACATTTTGAATACTTTCATTTGTATTCATAGCATGAGAACGCACTTCATCTTGAAATAATCTAACTTCAGTATTTGCAGCATTTCCAGGATGATTATGAACACCACTTTGGGTGTGGGTGTGAATAGTCTCTTCAAACTCCCATATCCACACATCCACACCACACCCACACCCTGTAAATTTTCTGTTAAGTTGACAGAAAAAATATGAATAAATCTTCTATTGAAAAATGAGACAGTATCTCACAAAGTTAAACAATGATCAATTAAAATTACACGAGAACTTATCAGACTTAAAAACAAATGCATAAAAATGAGAAATTCTCATTTGGTAGTAAAGGATTTGTTTTAAGATCATTGAAATATATCTCCTTGTGTTTCTGAATTGTACATAAGTTTCTAAAATGACGTTGCTTGGTAGAACTATATCGGTACATGTCTCGTAGAAGATTTCTTTCAACTTTTGAAAAGGTTGATAGTTTCTCAAATGAAAATATATTAATATGAATAAGAAAAGTAGGATAATGAATGTATCACTCAAGTGATATAATAACAGTTTAAAAGTTAATTTTTAATTTGTCAATAATTATCATAACTCGTATCGAAGTTGTTAGAAAGTTTAAAAACTTCAATTTATCGAATTTTATGCATTTCTGTTCTTTTAAACGAAACAAATTAAAAGTCCGATTTCAAATGAATATCAATCATAAGTGCTACACCATTCTTTTACTTAATCCTTCAGATATGCAATAAGAAAGTAGTCCATATATATTATAATGAAATGTTATTGATATACAACCTTTGTTCGTATATCAACGACGTCTGTTATGTTTGTATAGTTATGTCTATCATGTTTGAAAGTACAAATTTCTACTCTATATACTTCCACACTTCTTTTGAATCGTGTTTCACAAAAGATCTACTAGTAACAATGAAGCTGACAACTAGACTGATGCTATTATATTGACAAGAGAAAGAACAAAAATTTATGCTTTTGATCTAAAAGCTCAAACATGAATACATATAATCTCGTATACATTAAAATATATTTATATCTTGTCTAAATAAAATAGATTTAAATTAAACATTTATTTTCAACAAAAGAGATAGAAACTTTACTTACATATTTACTAGTACATTTTTGTTCAATGCTCGTATATTTTTGGTTTATTAATTTGTAAAAAAAAAATAAGAAAACTATCATGTTTATATTCGAAATCAAAGAAAAACAAAAGATATTACAATCTTATCTTAAACTAACTGGACAGAAAATCAAATACAAATAATTTCATTTCCCAAATTGAATAATTTAAGAGTGATGAAATCAATTCTATCACATCATACATCCTACTGTTAATGAAAAAAAAAAAAAGAAATGTTCTTGTAATGTATGATTTGATGAATAATGTCTTAATTCGATATGACATATTGTCAAGATCAATATTCGTCTTTTTTTTTTCTCTTGATCATGTGTATAATACTATATTTAGCGCACGATAGAGAGAATCAGTTATTATAAACATATTAAATAGGTTAAAAAAAGAACAAATATAAATATATCAAAAGAAAAAAAAAATTTCTTTTTTTCGCTTTAGTTTTTATCGACTAAAAAATGTTTTATTTTCATGGTTATTAAGATTGTTAACAAGCAGACGAAGAAAAGAAAAAAAAACAGAACTGTTTAATCTTTATAATCTATCAAGACAATGACTATTAATAAGCATTTCACGAGTTAATTGCCAACATTGTTTAGCAGCACAATCCAATGATTGAATAGATTTACCTTTAAATAAATCTACATTAGGTAAAAAATAATGTGGACATTTTCGACATTGTAAACATGATATTAATTGTAATAATATACCATTAAGACGATCACCTAATGTTTGTTCATCAGACCATTCATGTTCATTTGGATGTTTTTCACATTCATATAAAACTAAAGATTTTAATACATAATTTGTTATTGGTATAGAATCAAAGTTACGATCACGTAATGTTTTTAATATTGAAAGACATTTACGTCTAGTACCATTTTGTAAAAGACGATCTTCAGCTTCTGTAAATGACATAACCCATGCATCACCTTCTGAACTTGCTTGTTTATCTTTCATATAAATTGATTCTTTTGATAAAATATTAAAACCTTCATTTTTAACATCATTTATTTGATTTGGACTTGGCCAAATAGAAAATTGTGTTGCTGTATATGGCCAATGTGATGCTGAACGTGGCCATAAACCAGCACAACGAAATGCTGGTACAATATGTACAATATATTTATCACGTATACGAAGACGTACTTCTGTTGTATCAGTTAATAATTGTATATAATTTTTACATGGACATTTTTCACATGCTTGTGCAACAAGTGCTTGAAAACGTGAACGAATTTTACGTGCTGATAAATAACCACTTGCTGTTATAAATTCAACCCAAAGTGACATTGAACGTTTACGTCCATCCGATAATTTTAATACAGCACAACCAGGTATTGTACCATCATCAACAAAATTAAATACACCCATTTGATTTAAATAGAGAACGACCTTCAGTTATAGAGAACAAAAAAAAAAAAAGAAATCGAGATTTGTGATTAAATACAATCAATGAATTAGATCTTTTTCAATGAAAGAATAAGCAGATTGAGAGCGGATATATATAAGAAAATATCTCGTAGAGATAGTTAAAAATTCAAAAAAATCTTGGTAGTTTTACTAGGTAATAATGAATAAGTTTCAATTATTAATAGGTGAGAAGGAGAGTCTAATACCACTTTTGCGACTTCTGAAAAGGATACAGTCGTGATGTAATTAAGGGTGGATTAGATTGAGCAGTGTCCTACCATCTACGATCTTCTGGTTACTCTACTAGGATACAGAGTACTTTTTTTTGACTTCAAAGGAATATCTCTGGAAGAAGAAACGACTTTCAGAGTCACAAAATGTTAGTATTTAATTCTTTTGAAGTATATCATAGATTATTATGAAAACATCTGTTTGAATAAATTAATAAAAATATTCTCATGTCTCTTTAAATCATTCTTGTAATTCTATTTAAAATATAAAAAAAAGAAACAACAATATTTACTTCAAATTCAGTTTGTGATTTAACAGTAAGACCTTCAAAACGACCACTAATTTCATTTAATGATGAAATAAATCTTGGTTCTTGTGCTTCAACTTCATGTAATATTTCAGTAACAACTTTTGATACTTCTCTTACAGCTTTATAAATTGAATTTTTTCGTGGTATTACTTTTTCAATATAATATTGATTAAGTTGAATAGCAAATTTATTTGATGGACACAACATGTTTTTTTTAAAATTATTATTCTAGTTTTACTATATCTGATTTATTTAATCATCATTGATATGAAATGAATAAGACATATATTTACTTCATCATTCTTTTTTCCCTTGCTCATATTCTTTTTCTTTCCTCTTTTTCTTTCCTTTCATGAAACCAATCAAATAACATGATTGTCTTACCAATAGAAAAAGAAAAAATCTATATACGAATGTCAACAGAGACAAAAAAAAAAAAAACATTATGTAATCACGATATGACGATGTTTTTTGTACATTGATGAAAAGCAAAACAGATATTCTTTAATAGAATTAAATTTTAGTTATTTTATTTTAATGAAAAGAAAGACTAATATATCAACAAAAATGTATTTTGTTATTTTCTGTTAGATAAAATCGAGAAAATTATTCGAAAGAAGAAACGACTAACTCACTTTCAGTCTAAAATTGAATGTGGAAATGAATAGAAAGGAAATGTTTTGATCTCAAAACTACTCTTTAGTATTCTTTATATAGATAGTCTATCATTTTCCATTGATAGATTTTGCATTTTAATGAATAGAAGTTATTATTCTGAAGTAAAAAAAGAAAAGTCTTTAGTACGATACATATGCATTCAATGTATACTTTCTTTCCTATCATTATTAATAAACACTTTTAAATGTTATCTTGAATATTTATCATTTTTGATAAAGATCGTTCATAAAATATTTTGTTGATTATACTTGTAAAAGTTTTCAAATTTCTAACTTTTTCTTAATGAAATATAATTTTTTTGAATATTTGATTATAGAATAAATCTTTTTTTGTTTTTGAAAATTGAATCATATTATGATTAATTTTATTGTTCAATCTAAAAAATTTCATCAATTGAATCTTGTTTTTTTTTTTGTTTTTTTGCTTTCTTTCGTAGTTTCTTCATCCAATCATGATTCATCAAAATAATGTACAGTCGTTGTTGGATGAAAAAAAATCACACTATTGTTAATAAACCGTTCGTGCGTGAGATGAGACACAGTAAGGGAGTAATTAGAAACATCATTCATATTCATCACATATGTAATTGAACTGAGCGTGAAATATGAGGACGGATGTTTATCATCGTCGTGTGCGAATGAATACAGTGACGAATAAAAGATGCGCTTACTTGATAAAACAAGAGTCACTCATCACAATAGGAGGTGGAGTTATAAAACAAACAATTCAAATTAACTCTGTTATTTTTTTGTAGAATATTTTTCTTCTTATTATTATTGATCAAAATCATAGAAGAATTCTTAACTACTTATTTATCTTAAATTGAAGTCAAGTAATACAAGACTAAAAAATAACAAAAATAACTATAGAAAATTTACTTGAAATAAAAGACATTGATCGATGATGATGATGATGATTACACTGTTTATGGAAATGTAAAATATAAACATATAGAAGTATCGTCTGATAAACTCTTTTTTTTTTCAAGATGACAGACTCATGTCTGAGAATGATGATACGATATGAATAAATATGATATCTATTTTTATTTTGCATTCGATCAGTTGAAATAATCGATCTTTTCTCACTATAAATATGTATATATAGCTCATTTAGGAAAGATTATATCGATACACTTCACTTGATTGACATGACCATAGACATGACTAAAATATAATAGGTGAAAAAGACAATAGGATACACGAAATAGTACTATGTATTTATTTGCTAACCAAATGAATCGTCTAGTGACACGAACAAATGACTTTAGGATGTCGAATGAATATTATTGACAGTTAACAAACACAAGACAATCATCTGTAATTTTTCTGATTAGATAAAAAGTTCTAGTAGATAATATTTAACAATCAAAATGAATATTATAATAAAAATTAAACATTTTATATTCAATAAAATTTAATAAATCTTAAAATAAGAAAACTTATCTGGTACATATACTATTATCCATTTGTTTAGACAATTCATTGAATTTATCTATTGATTAAGGATATCATAACCGGAGTTATAATTCTGAATAGGTTATTTATCATTCTTGTGTTTTGAATAACTTTTAAACAAAAAGGAGAGAGAAATAACTCGAATTTTTGTGTGCTATCTAGAGTTGACGTTGCTCTATCATTTTTCACAAAATCGATGAAAAATTTCAGTCGTTTTTCTCCTTTAATATATCATCAATTTTGAAAATGAGCTTAATTCTCTTTGAAAACAATATACTTTCCTAACTAAAATATAATTGGCAGGTAGTCAAACTTTTCCTTTATTGATCTACACCAGACAGAGATCGATAACTGTTTGTGTTCAAAAGATATAAAGATTTTACTGAAGACTATTCATCAAATTTGTTCAAAATTTGAGCAACTAAAAAATATTTTCTTCTATTTGATGCGATGATTTATTAACCTTCAAAGGTTTTTGTTCTTCAGAGAGTTTTCGTCAATTTTTATTTATTTTTTAGTGTTTTCATCGCAAAAATCTTTCAACTCAAATTGTTCAATCGAAAAGAATTTTAAGATGTTTACATAAATAAAAGCCATTAATCATCAGTATCATCTATATTGCAGGTACTGAAATCATTATCATTTAGTTCTTCTTCGATCTCTTCAACATAAATAACAACTTTTAAAATGTTGTCTCATATTGTTTGACATGCCTGATGTAACTGGTTGCTTCCATTACACATAAACCATAAATCCATTCTTGTGCCAATTTGCTCACTTTAGTTAAAGTAAATTTTATGTTTCTATCATATATATATGTTTTCGTATTGGCACAGGCTAACTCTGTAGGATTCAAAGTACAGTATCTCATTGATAAATGAATGCGGATGTGATGGTGACTGAAGAAAAAACCAACATCTACACTCATATCGACACTCCATACTAGAGTCCATCAAGTCCTACTCGGACTCGGACCCGACCGAGTTCGAGTCTGAAAATTTCGTTTTGAGCGGATCCGAATCCAGAAATTCTTGGACTCGATGGGTTCTATCCCCACACCTACACACATCAATACACAGTGTATGGTTTTTGATGACGTTTTTAATAAAAAAAAAAATCTTCGAAGGTTAATAAATCATCCCACCAAATAAAAGAAAATATTTTTTAGTTGCTCAAATTTTGAAGAAATTTGATGAATAGTCTTCAGTAAAATCTTTATATCTTTTGAGTGCAAATAGTTATCGATCTCGACGTGGCATAGATCAATAGAGGAGAATTTAGACTATCTGCCTATTATATTATAGTTAGGAACTCTAGATAGTACAAAAAATTTGAGTTATTTCTCTCTCTTTTTATTTAAAAGATATTCAAAAACTACTCACGACTATTTAACTCTGAAATGGACTTTAGTAGCTAAGAGTTTTACTTTATATTTGTTTTAAGATCATTGAAATATATCTCCTTGCGTTTCTGAATCATAGATAAGATTCTAAAAAAGACGTTGCCTGGCAGAGCCATATCGGCACATGCCTCATAGAAATTTTTTCTCAACTCTTCCAAAGTTCGATAGTTTCTCAAATGAAAGTATCATAATAAACGCACTTTCACATATCTATAACAAGACTCAGAAAGTGCTAACGATAGATGATGAACATGTGAATAAGAAAAGTAGGTTAATGAACGCATCACTCAAGTTATCTGATAACAGTATAGAAATCACTTTTTGATGATACGTCAGTAATTATCGTAGGTCGTATCGAAATTGTTAGAAAGTTTGAAAATTTCAATTCCTCGAATCTTGTACACTTCTGTTTTGTAAATGTATCTAATAAAAGCTCACCTTCAAACTTTCGACTTGTGAAACACATTAGAAGCCTAATGGATTATTATTTTATGGAGAGTGAGTTTAATAAAAATTCTTCAAAACAAAAATTTCCATGTATAGAAATGATATATTTATTTTGGATTATAATGATTACAAGTTTTTTTTTTCAAGAAATCTAACTATTTATATCGGAAATCGCCTTTTTTTTTCTCTTCATCTGGATTTCTACATTCAAACATCACTGACAATAATCAATGACAAAAAAAAAGAAAGAAAATATGTATTATATAAATGAAGAAATTTAAGTAAAATTAATCGAACACAATAACAAAAGAAAAAAAAACCAAGCGAAAATAGAATAAATTGAATACAAGTTTGTCCATGTATACATACAATGAATAAACAAATAGTTATATTCTATACATAATCATTATTGATTTATTTTCTATTTTTTAAATCTTCAAATCGACGAGCTAAATCATCAAAACCAGGATCATCTGAACCTCCTCCATGAACAACAGGTGGTGTTGATCGATCATTTGTATTTGGAACTTGTGGAAATGGATCGTTAAATGGTGTTTTAGCATTATAATCAGCATTAAAACCAAGACGAGGTGCATTTGATGATGGTGGTGGTGGTGGAAGTGATGGTCCAAAATCAATATTTGGATATTTAGGTTGAGGCTAAAACACAAAAATTTACGTATCAAATCTTAATAGAAGAACTTTTTTTTTTATCACACGAGCATGGTAAAGAAAAAAACAGCAACTTACTCCTACATAAGCCGGAGGTGATTTTTCAAACTGTTAAATATTAAAGGGGATTCAATTTTTTAGTATTTCAACTATTCTCTTATACACTTTATTACTTATTAAACAAAAAAAAACAACAACAACTTACTGCTGGTGCGCTTGGTTGAGCTGATGGAACTGTTGGAAAATCTAAATGACCTCCACCACCACCATTTGATGAAGCTCCTCCTCCACCTGATGATGATGATGGTGGTGGTGGTCGTTTATCATCATTTATATTTGATGGTAATCGTTTATCATCATTGATATTTGTTTGTTGAACATAACGTTGTCCAATAGTCCAAAATTCATCTTGTGCCATTATAGTTGGATCTGGTTCAAATGGAACATTTTGACTTCGACATATTTCAACTAAATATTTTTCAATAAGTAATTTTGGAATAAGATCACAACTTAAACAACGTAAAAGATCAACATCAACCATGCCAAGTTTA